AATTACTACAAATATTTTGAGATGAATCATGCCGTGGAAGCTTTCATTGTTCTTCCCGGAGGAGTTGACACCATGGAAGGTTTGTTCACCTTGATCTCGTGGGCTTCTGAAGGGTTACACAATAGACCCATTGGTCTTTTAAACATTGACGGTTATTTCAATAACCTTCTCAAATTCTTAGACGATGCGGTGAGGCAGAACTTCATGGCTTCCAGTCAGAGGAAACTTTTTATTTCTTCTTTCTCTGTTGACGAGCTTTTAGACAAACTAGAGTTTGCTAAAGCTTTCCAGGGACCTGGGGTTAGTTATGATGAGTTTGTGAATCCTGGAGATTAGACTTAGAATTGCATTTGTAACATTCCTCATATGATCCAAGTTGTATGTTGAAATGATATTTTCCATAAATATTATTCTAGGCTGTATGACCAGTGCGAGCTATATTTTCTTCATTCTTCAGTCTTTCACTGTTGGTGTCACTGTTTCACATCTTGTTTTGTATTGTTCCACATCGCGATCTTTCACGTTAATAGCGTATACGAACGAGTCAATTTTCTTAACTATTTGCCTTGTCAGCATCACTTTATTTCACTAATGTTTTCGACGATAAGCAATTAAGTTATTATAACAAGGCATCCGTTTATTCAACAACGTCGAGCTGTCTATAGCTTCTAACAAACGGGTTCCTTGAATTTGATCGAACAAGTCGTCAGTTCATTGTAAAGGACAGCGATTCTTGGTCGTCAGTTTGTTCAAGTTTCTTGATAGAGATTTGTGGGTATCATGACCGTAAGTCAATCTTAGAGAATACAATGGATTCTCTAAGCTGATCAAATAAGTCATGATATGAGGTAAAGGATAACGAATTATTCAACTGACAGTAGTTGATATAGAGTCTCATTGATTCGCGTATGAACAAAACAGGTATTCTCCCAAGGAGGAAACACTTGATCAGGTGATTCTTTGTCAGGAAGTCATTGATGGAAACACGATCAATACAGAGTTACGAATATTGGTCCTTTCTAGGATCAAGATTGACAGAGAATTCAATTTCTCGGAACGGTGAAATATTAGGAAGTTCATATCAGAGAGGTGACATACTTTCGGTACGTTACTTCAGTTCAGATGTTTCTTTTCGCGTAGACTTCACACTTCTTATGGATGAGATGTTTTCATATATATATATATATATATATATATATATATATATATATTCGAGATGAACTCGGTTGGTTTAGATATCAGATTTGCTTTCACCTCTATGAGTTTACCATCATCGGTCTTTAGTTGAGGAATTCTTCATTACAAGTTGTCAACAGCTACAATGTTCAGTCAGCCAATGCATACTAAGGATAACATCAATTTCCTTGTATGGTATTTTGACGAGGTTTTGCAAGGAATTGTTGCTTAACGAACGATTTCGATTCGTATGATATAATCGCATATTTGCGTCGTAATGAGTTAGACATCAGAATGGGACACTTTTAGACAAAAGAGTTTATTGATTCTAAACGTTCGTGTTTGAATCAGCGATCCGATCGTCTTCAGTCCACATGAGGATCTTTGACAGTAGCTTCACAGGTGTTATTCAACATTAATTGTTTCTTCATAGTCGTCTCACTTCTAAGCGACTTTACAAGGCCGATCGGTTTCGTCATTCGCGATGCGATAAGTATGTTGATAACGTATCAGGGAGTCATAATTTTTTTTATTTATTCTTTCGTCTCTTCACCGAGTACGAAAAATCTACTTGAGTCTATACTCGATATAATTTCAGTACTAACAATTATTCTCTAATGAGAATTTTAACAGAGTAAATATTTGCCAAATAAATTCACATACATTTCCCGGAGCAGAGGGATGCGAGAGTCGTGGATGTGATTGAATATTTTTTTTAAAATCAAGTTTCGATCCGAAGATCGAGTTTAAAACCATTTGCTCCGATACCAAACTGTAACACCCTAATCCGTTCAGGTCTGCAGCCCCTTTCGGACTAAAGTATTAACTTAGTAATCGTAAAATTTAAAACATTTCAAACACTTTTATTTATCACAATAATATTTTTCACATTATAAACAGTACGAAGTTTTTAATATTGCGGAAGCTTAACAATCATAATCACAAACATAATTTATTTATGTTCTTTAATTCAAAACCATCACATCCATTCCGACAATCTCGCCTCCGTCTGCCTCCAAGATCACGTCACTTCATTAACCTGCGTGTAACAAATAAAACATACTACACGCTCAGCGTTGAAGCTGAGTAAGCATATCTAATGCGTCGAACATCCATATAAACTGAATCTAAATTCATAATCAAATCATTTGATATCATGCACATAATGTTCAGTTCAGATAATCAATAATTATTAAAAATTATTCATCATGCATTATTCAACATTTATATTCACATTCAATGTTCATCAGTCATTCATAATAATTGCAATATTCAATTCAATATTCATCATTCAATATTTATTCATATTCAATATTCAATATTCAACATTCAACAATATCCTTAAACTATTCTTAGTCTAAGGCCAATCACTTTAATATTTGTCAACCCTTAAACGAATTCTAGTTTAAATAATTAAACTATATTCTAGTATAAAATATTCCTAAATAATCCTTAAGCTAGGCCTAGTTTAAGATAAAAGGGTTTTGAAAATCTTAAACTTACCTTCACTTAAGGCCAACCAAAAACCGACAGCGTAGTGTTCACTGTTGGGTGGGTGGTACCCCCAAACGAGTAGGTACTCAAGTTTGGTTCTTGGATCCCGTACGTACGTTTTAACCCTAGCCACCGGGGTTCATACCCGCAAGGCCTAACTTAAA